CATACATGGAGACCCATTTCATTTCAGCTTCCACTTACTGCACAAATCAAAATCATCACCGTCCCTCTTCCTTATGAATATTTAAAAGTTTCTCATTTTATGAAATTAATGCTTATTTAAAAAAAAAAATTTTACTAGATTGCAATATATTTTGTTCTTTTCCTGATGTGTATATTGTTGGTTCTACAAACTACAATTATTCATGTTTAAACAAATATTTGATTACAAGACCTTTCTCGAAACATACATAATTATTCATTAATAAATTGACCAAAACAATGTTATTTGGCTTTCATCTGTTCTTTTCTTTCTGTTTAGAAGCAATGTGAAGCCGTCAAGAACACGCATCCCGTATAGGCGTATGGCGTATTCAGCCCCAGCACAAACGCACCTAAAAAGCGCAGCAATGTGTGACAAAGTGGGACCATTTTGTGAATGAGCTCCTTGCCAGCATCCCTCGAATGTTTTCGGTATTGATTTTATGTGTCTGAGCGACAATTTGTGCGCTTTTGTGAAATTTATGTTGCCTACTTTAAGGTGCGCTCGTAAGTCGTGTATACGCCGCGTGTGCGTGGCCAAATCAACAAATTCCTGTATTTAACTTCGTTTGCTGTCGGCTGTTGTGTGTGCGTTTGTTTGTTTATTCTGACTTTGCTTTGAAATTGATTTTATTATGCCTAAATAATTGATGCTTTTTCTGAGCTGCCTGAATTGTTTGTGGGCGTTAACGGCAGGCATTATCTATTGTTTAAGTGCATTGATGGCATATTCCAACTGGCAATTACTTCTGGAATTGTTGTCTAATTGGCGCCCTAACTAATTTAGACCAATCCAACTGACCGCAGTGGTCAGATAAGTTGCACGAGCTCTTAAAATGCACACACGCACTCACAACCATAGATATGCACCTGCTGGTAAAGTTTTCCCTGAAAAACTTTGCAGGCCCCTTTCGGCATCAGGCGCCAGCGCTAAATGCTCAACATTCTTAAAGTTTTCAACAAACAGTCGACGGCCCTTTCCCCCACTGTCTGCCTCCCTCACCGATCTTTTTTTGTTATTTTTGGTAGCTTTGCGTGCGCGCAGGAAATAAACGCGCCGTCGACTTCGACGTCGTTTGCAAGTGTAGCAAGTTTTTGTTGATTTTTACACCCCTTTTTGTGTATTGCTTTTTTCGGCTTTGGGGTTTTGTGTTCTTTTTTTTGTATTCGGTTGTTTTTTATTTACGCAACGGCCACAAGTTTGGTGCTTGGCTTGGCCTCTGGCTTGTCTCGTCTTCTCTGCTGGCGTCTCGCTAATATTCGCCATTAAACTTTTGCTTGTTTTTCTTTAATTAACAACACAAACATTTGATTTTTTACGCTATGCTTTGTTACTTATTTTCGCCCAGGCGCGCACCTTTATGAAGTTTCATTTTCATTTCTTTTCAAGACTCTTGTGGGAGCGAGAGGGCGTCGCCTGTGGCTACTTTGGCGGCTTAGGCAGCCATTTCGGCCAGGGGCTGTTATCTGTTATCTGACCTGTTTGCTGAAGGAAAAACGCCTTAAAATATTTGTAAGCTTTGTTTGTTTGATTGCATTAATTGTTTAAATGTTTTACAGTATCTGGTTTTTGTTGACTTAAGCGGCCTGGTTTCGCAATGTCGTGAGGCAAACTGTGCCATCGATTTATATATTTTGATTGCTGCTTCTCGTTCTTTTTGATTTACGAGTGATATCTGATTGAGTATTGTTAAGGTTATCAACAGAAATATGTTTAGATTTGGTTTGTAAATTAGCTCCAAAATATGGACGCTATGAAATGCAATTCTTAAGATAAAAGATTCTTACAGTCAATTGTTATTAGAGCTATCAAGTTGCAAGATTAAATAAATGATACATAACAGATATGCATTTTATGGCAAACTGCAATTTATATTAACTCTTTTAATACATAGACAAATTAGAAACGGGCAGAAGAGACCTTTTCCTCTTTTCCTTTTTCTACTGTTTTTAAAACCAGTAGCAACTAAGAATAAGAGTATTGGGCAATCCTTTTCGAACATTTCTTTTTAAATTAAGATTAAATAAATAATATATAACAGATTTGCAATCTATTGTTAATGTTTACTTAATATCTCTCTCTCTCTCTTTTAATACATAGACCAATCAGAAACGAGCAGAAGAGACCTTTTACTCATTACTATTATAAATATTTCTGTTTGTAAGACCAGTAGCGACTAACGATAGGAGCATTGGACAAACCTTTTTCGAGAAAATGCAGTTCAGTCACACATATTTCAACTTGTCTTTATCATCGGAACTGAAGTCTAAAACTAGAAAATATTGATGGCTTTGCTTCTTTAAAAGTATCAAGAATGAAATTCCACATCATACATTCCACTCTTATTAGTTCGAGCTAACGAATTCTATTGGTATGAATAACCGAGCGCTGACTAAAGATTGGTGGAGTTCCAAAAACAGAATGAACAGAACTAAATTGAATGGAAGTTTATAAAACTACTCGTAGCAATAATTTCTGGTTCGTCACAATAAAGCAGACAAACTTTGGGACCATGATGTCTGATCGGATGGAGAGAGCGAGAGAGAGGGAGGGAGGGAGAGAGCAACATAAAATGCTTGTGTCCCAGGGCGTTGCTAACTTTTAAACAATAAAGTCTAAAAAAGACAACGTGAAATTCAGTATGTGACCGTTCTGGTCAGCACATAAAACAAAGTAGAAGCCACATGGCAAATGGCACTTGCCACAGCTGCCATAATTCTGCAAACACAAATACTTGCTCGTACATATATACGAGTATATGTATGTGTGCAGACGTGAATGAGTGTGCGCGCGAATGTGTGTTTATATGTGTGTGCGTGTGTGTGTTAACATAAAAATTAAAACTTTTGCGAACAACTTTTTATTTGCCGTTGCTGCTGCTGTTACTGCAAATGAACTGCGCTCTGCTGTCTTTCAGCAATTCGACACAGTCAAAACTTTTATGTGCCCTCTCTTCTTCTTCTTCGAGTTATTCGCTACATAATAGATGTATAGGTATGCATATAAATAAAACTAAATGCAAACGGATCACTTAATTCAACCTGCTCAACATTTTTTGTGCATGCTTGCGCATTTTAAATATCTGAGCAAATTAGTCTTAATAATTGATGGAAATGAGGGTCGAAAAAAATGCATATACGTATATTGTAGGTGGCTGGCCACTTTACAACACTTAGTGGCTACAAATCTTGACCGCGCTAAACTCACTTTAAGTCCATAAAAACACCACTTGAAAACTAATTAAGCTGGTAATGGCAAAAAAAAAAATAATAGAAAATAAAGGAGTGGAGGACAGACCCAGACACTGGGTCTGCCCCGTCTCCCTATCTAGATGCTATGCTGGGCTTGCAATTAAACAAAACAACAATATCAACAGCGGGAGAGGGGGAGGGGGAGGGAGAAAGCGAGAAAGCAGCCAAAGAAGCAGAAATAAAATAATGCACAAATCGCAAAACTTTTTAATTTCGCTCTTGAGCACTCGAACGTGGTCCGGGAAGGGCAGCGTTTTGAAAGTGCTCAGGAAGTACAGGCTGCTGCGCGCAAGCGAGTCTATAAGTTCAGCGCCAATACAATGCAAGAGAAATGTCTTGGCCAAGAAATACTTCTATGTGTATAAAACAATGGCAAAACAGCAACAGCAGCAGCAATAGCAACAACAACGAAAAGGACAAATGAAAAGAGGAAAAAAGGCGCTCAAGTGAATTGGGTGCGAATGAATGGTCAATGGACGGGGAAAGGATAACAGACGTCGCTGCCGTCGTTGGCGTTGCGTCGTGCGGAAGTGAAGCGAAATGGCAAATCAATGAAACACACACAGCTACACACACACACACTCTAACAAATAAAAAGTGTTTGGTATGTGTATTGGTGTATTGGAGACGTGGGCGGCAACAGCAAATCCGCTTAAAGTGAAAATTATTCGTTGGCCAAAAGCGCACAATACATGTGTATAAAAATAACTAAACAGCCCCAAGGCGTTTGGGGCTATGAGCCTGTACAGACAACAGCTTCCAGGCTTCGTTCGCGGCCGTGTAAGCTGTTGACTTATTTGCTAAACTTCGATTTTGCCTTTCGGTCCGTCTTTGTCCGCTTGCCCAGCCATTTTCTTGTTATTGTTTAGTTTTGTATGCGCAGCTTAGCAGCCAAAGAAAGTAAGGCGCCTAACAACGACAACTAAAACACTTTAAGCCATTTGGAATTCGTATTTAGTTTTGGCTTGGCAAGTTCATTGAGCCGGGGTCAAGCACTCATTTGATTGGGGTTAAGGTTTAGGCCCACTGTGATTTGTTTTGCTAATGGACTGCATATGGAAGCGAAGTGAATATTTATTTTGGGTAACTTTTTTAAATCAGAGACTCGGGCTGGCTATTAAAGGCGACTAGTTGGCGAATGAGGTGAACGATCCAAATGCTGGCCCAATCTATCGATAAGCTCCTATCAAAATCCGTATACAAATTAACTAAATATAAATATTAATATATAAAGTTTATAAGCCAAAAAGATTATTTAATAATGCACACATACAAATTATCCAATGTGTCCGAATTACGAAAGTTTAAATATTTTTATGTGCACCATATGCTTGAAGAAACTAAAATTATGCAAGCACTTATCTGGACATACACTAAGGCTACCTTATAAACAGATGTGATAATATATTTCAGAACTCTTGGTTTTAAAAATATAAATAATACAGCCTTAGGTGAGCAATTTTCCATCAGTATATTAATAGGGAGTTAATTTTGTTAGACGATTCTGCCTAATTCATCATACAACTGGCTTGTACAAAAAATTTCACGCCGCCCAATGCGGACACAGACCACGCTTTAAATTGCGGCACACTCTGAGCGTCTAACTTCAGTTAATGCTTCACTTGCGCCTTTGGAGTCACTTATTTAAGCACCCAAAACTTAAATTAGTCTATGAATTATGCAGGTCGCTGGCAGAGCGCTCGGACTTACCTTTGTGGTGCCGCAAGTGATGGCCAACAGCTGTGCCCGTGCAACACGGTGGCTCGTAATATAAATTCCAAGTGTTCTCATAATCCGCACGAGCATAATCCACATAAATTATTTGCACGCCGAGCAGCACGAGCAGCAGGGCTGTGTTGAGAGCACCACGGCTCAAGTTCGCCATGGAGCACATGTTGTAGTTTCTTAATTATTTTTTCTTTTTATTTTTATATTTTTTTTTGCAAGGGACTCTTGTAAAAACACTAACGCGCGCTACAGAGGGCAAGGAGTAAAACGTTTCTCGTTCTTATTGCCTCCCTAATTTAATTGGCGCCGAAGAAGAGGCGCTAATTTGGCGGAGTTTTGAGCAGAGCCGTTAACATTGAGCGATATATCCTTCTCGATATTGTTTTATATTTTGTGCGATTTTTCAATGGCCCGCGTCATCTTCACGTGTGCGCTATACGAGCACATTTCACGAAATCTAAAAGTACTGTATGGCTGGCTGACTGTCCGATTCTGGTACTGTCTGTGAGGCACGACCGCACGACACGAGCTTCAAACACGAACTGAATCCGTTAGCGCACGAGTATCTGTGTTAAATAAACACGGCTCCTGGCTCCTGAAGACGATGGGAACAATCACGACGAACCGTTCACTGTTCGGCTGTGCTTTCGCTGTTTCCGTCGCTGGTTTCGGCAGTCCTTAAGCACCTGTGCTATAAAACGAGAGAGAGGAAGAGAGTCGGATTAGTCAGTTGAACTCTGTGCGCATGCGCTACGAATAAATCCCTATGGACAAGCTAAAAATTTCCCAGTAATGTTTATGTTTATGCCTGTTTTGCAAGTGTATTGAACTCATTTGTACCGTGCAACACACCACATACATATACATAGTGTGTGTGTGTGTGTGTGTGTGTGTGAAACTGCAACGCAATGCGCCAGCAACAACAGCAACAACAAGGGCAACAGCAACAAAGGCAACGGCTACATTTTCAAGGGTAACTGCAGCCAGACACATTGAAGCTGAAGTGCATACAAAGGCCCTAAACTCCCACTCTGCCCCATGCTGAGGAAATGCAGCCGCCGTTTATGGCACTTTAAAGAACTGTTACTGTTACTGGTGTTCTTGTTGTTGCTGCTGTTACTGTTGTTGTTGTTGTTGTTATTTTTGCTGGCAGACAGTATGGCCAGACACTTGCACTTAAAGCGATTTCATTCGTTATTATTTATGCATATGCCTGTAATTGAAAATTCCACATTCACGTGACTTACTCTTCTCCCTGTCCCTATCTCTATCTCTATCTCTGTCTCTCCCTCTTTCTCAGTCTATTTATCTTTTTGTGTTTACTTTGCGTCTGACTACAATTTTTTCTGCTCATCCTGGATTTCTTAGCAGACATCGCGTGCCAGTCTTGTGGCAATTTCAAACACAAATTCAATTCAACATTGTAAAGCTGCAAAAAAAAGTCAAGGCAGACATAAGTCACTCAGCACCGCAGACAGCATAGGCCCGGGGCCAGAATCTACACCAGACTGCCAGCCCAGGACAATTAGGCAGTGGCCAAGTATGCATACACCCTACTGTATGTGTACATGTGTGTGTGTGAGTGTGTCTGGCTGTGTGTGGCAACCTTCAGACTGCAAGCAACTTTCAGCATACTTTTACTATTTATGGCGCTCTTGGACTTGACTTTGCCAGAATTTTAGACACACACTAATCGGAATAAGTTTATTGACAGGCAGCAGATGGTGTTTACAAATAATTAAATACTACAACAGATTTGAACTTGCATTTCCTTTTACAAATCATAAAAATGGTGTTACACAATTTTGTACAACAAGAAGACGAACTTTTTTAACCGACTTTTTCTTCAATGGCATTCGCCTTAACTAAGACCTCAAATTCTAAATATTTGATCTTTTTTAAATATAAGTATTAAGATTTGTAATTATTATGTTGTTAGACTGGAACAAAAATTAAATTCAACTCTGGAAAATATTTATAAATTTTTGCTGAGGAGGTGAAAAATTTAAAAATATATATGACCTTATTGTTTTGCTTGGAGAATAGGACATTCTGTAGAATGTACCAAGGTTGGACTATGTGGACTCAGCCAGCTCCGGAATCCAAAACCAGATTGACAGACGGATGGACAGACTTACATGTCTAGAACGATTTTTCTCATCACTTTGCGAATATATACACTTTATGCCTCCTGCTGCCTTGTACCTTCATAATTTGCACAAATCTTACAATTGAAAACAAATTTTAAGCAATAAGAGTAAATTAATGCTATATGTATACGCTGAAAGCAATAAGCAGAGTGAAAAAGTAAGAAGTCAAAAAGTTTACTTATTTAGTACATATGAATATAATACAAACAAGAAAGGAATGCTAAAGTCGAGCAGGGTCAACTCTTAAATACCCTGTACCACCCCACAAAAAAGTAATTAAATTAATTAATTAATTTAATTTAATTAATAAACTTAATTAATTTAATTAATTAACTAAATTAAATATAAAATATTCTATGCATGCATACATATACATTTACATTTACATCAGAATCGTGCCTTATGCGTGTTTGTGTACTTGTACATATGTATGTATGTGTGCATTGGGCCTGGTTATATGGCTATAACTTTCTTTCCGATCATTCTATCATAATGAAACTTGGTATACGGATATATAATCACTAACCTAATATGACTACCAAATTTTAGTTCAAAATTCAAAATCGTTAATAGGGGGGGAGTAGGGGGGTGGATCAGAAAAAATGAACAAACTCGTCCTTTCTCGGTCTCAGGAGAATCTGTATACCAAGTTTGGTTATTCTAGCTCTTATACTTTCGGAGATCCTTGCGTTCATACAGACAGACGGACAGACAGACGGACAGACAGACGGACATGGCTATATCCTTGCGTTCATACAGACAGACGGACAGACAGACGGACAGACGGACAGACAGACGGACAGACGGACATGGCTATATCGACTCGGCTTGTCATGCTGATCAAGAATATATATACTTTGTGGGGTCTACCAAGCCTCTTTCTGTGTGTTCCATGTGCACAAAACTAATATACCCTTGTACCCTTTGGGTACAGGGTATACAAATGCAGTCCTCACTAGATACATAGACTCATAAATAGTTTGACAAGCACCTCTGGAAGTTCAACAGCTGTAGTAACCAACCATGCTGTCCAGGTTCTCATATTCCCTAGAGAGAGAGAGAGTTGGTGGTTTCTTTTCTTTCCCACTCACTCGGTATTAACGGTATATCATTGCTCCCGTAATTCTTGGAAATCTTACCCTAATTATTGGCAATTACATCCGGATAGTGTTTATGTGTAAAGTTTCATGGTGATAGGTCAACTCTAAGAGCCATAAATATACTCTCATTCAATCTCGATAAAAACGTATGGATTTACATATATAGTTTTTATTTATTTATTTACTTCATTCTCTTAATTTAATTTTTTTTAATAAATTCTTTTTTTGGGAGAGGGCACAGGGTATTTAAAAGTTGGGCCCGCTAGACTCTAGCATTCCTTTTTTGTTAATTACAATTTTCTAATATTACTGTTTATAGCGGTAATTGTTTAATGCTTAATGTTAAGGTTGTAGTTTCATGATTTCAATTGCGATGGCAAAAGATTGCAGGAACAGCACAATTTCAAAAATTGTATTCCAAACCAATATGACCCCAATATTTAAATTATATTTGAACATATTGGATTTATTGGGAATTTATCAAGGAACATATGCCGAGTAGTGTGATGGAAAGGAAAACCCAAAGTAACCACCAGCCGAAGTCTTTTCGCCTTTGTCTCACCACATTGTGAAGCTGACCGCAGGTTGAGTGAAAAGTTTGGCATTTCAGCATAGAGTTTTATGCTTAAAATTTTGTGGGCTCAGCGCAGGCTTGTTTCGTTTGGCAGCCAAGACAATTTGCGGCTGCTTTTCGCATGCCTTGTGCCAGCATATGGCTTCAATTGCCAACGAACTTAAATGCCATAAGAAAAGGACATGAGGACAAGCGAACATGCGGACAGAAACCCACCTGGGCAACCCGCGCACTTGTCGCGTGTGCTTGGATGCACAAAAACAAGCTCAACAATTGCCTTATAAATGCCCTCAAACTTTGACTCAACTAAAAACGACTTTCAAAAAACTTTGATTAATGTGCGCTTAAAGAGGCAAGCCAAATACGTGGAAAAAGCGTAACAACGGCAAAACTTTTCATAACTTCAACAGGGTGCTGACTTGGGGCAGAGGTAGCTGTCGTGGGGAGTGGGGAGCGGTACCGACATAGGCGACGGCTTCTTGGCCAAAGCGCAACAAAAACTTATGCAATCAGTACAAATGTTTGTGTGTCGGTGTGTGTGTGTGTGTACGTGTATGTGGCAGTAACTAAGCCAAGAGCGACAAAACAGCTTGCTGCAGTTTGAAGGCGCCGCACAACAATGTCAGCGCCGGCAACAACAACAACAATAACAAGCAACCTGAACGACAACTCCCCCAACGGCCAAGGGGAACAAACGCCTCAGCAGGACGCGACTGCAGTAAAGCAGGGAATCACAGCGCAAAAGCGTTAAAAAACGAATTGTAAAACAAACAGCAAACAAACGAGCAACATTTTCTCATGGCACCCACGCCCACATTCAAGGCTGCCTGCCCGCAGCAGGTCAGAACCGCAAAGTAGCCACGACCCGCAGCGGCCCAGGGCGCCGCAAACATCCTGCTGCTCCACCCGCTACAGCCACCGAAACACTGCACAAAAAAGATTTCATTTTTAAATTAATAGAATTTGTTTACTTTCTAGGTTAAGACAGATTGCAACTGAATTTTAAAAAAATATTTTAATTATTATTAGTATTGACCAACGATATCCAAACGTTATCAAAGCCTTGACTCTGCTTATCCTACGTTGAATATACTTGTAGTATAAAAAAAAAAAATAAGAAATAAAAATTAAAAACTTGTACAACACTGTTAAAGGTACATAGTTTTTGCTTTTTGGAATCAATTTTATATTTGTTAAGAAAAAATTAATATAAAGCTAACACAGCTTTACACGGAAATCAACTTCTAGTTATGCTCTGTACCATGATCGTATACCATGACATATGTTCATCCCGACTTACCCTATATAAACTAAGCTTTGCATATGTAAATTATTTCCAGTT